TTTCCCAAACTTCGGTTCACCACCTCAGTCTGGCCATCCGTCTAGGGGTGGTAGGCGCTACTGAAATTCAACTGCGTTCCCAGTTTCCCCCACAGGCTCTTCCAGAAATGATTGATGAACTTAGTATCACGATCTGAAGTGATGGATCGAGGAACACCATGTAAAACGCACAATCTCCTTGAAATAGAGATGGGCAATCCGGCCAGCATCCATAGTCTTTCTGCAGGCTAGAAAATGAGCCATCTTGGAAAACCTGTCAACCACAACAAAGATAGAATCAGAGGCCCTTTGGGTGCGGGGTAAGCCTAGTACAAAATCCATGCTGACATCGAACCAAGGAGCTTCAGGAACAGGTAAGGGAGTGTACAATCCCGCATTGGTGAGAACTCCCTTAGACCGATGGAACACATAACAACGGTCCACATAATGGGCCACATCACTAGTCAACTTGGGCCAATAAAATTCAGAAGAGATAAGGGCCAATGTCTTATCTCGGCCAAAGTGTCCCTCATTATGGAGTTCACTTATAATTTGCTGCCTCAATGAACAATCTGGAATGCACAATTGTAATCCACGAAACAGATACCCATTATGCAAAACAAAATCATGACGGTGACCCTCAGTTACCTCCTGAAATATCATTCCAAAGGAAGGATCAGCTGCATACATATCTGTGAACGTCTCAAATCCTGCAACTTTAGTATTCATGGTGGTGAGAAGTAAGGTACGACGGCTCAGGGCATCTGCGACGCGGTTCAAACTCCCTGCTTGGTGCCTCAGCGTAAAAGTGAATTCTTGCAAGTATGCTACCCACTTGGCATGACGTCTACTCAGCTTGTGTTGGCCATTGATGTACTTCAAGGCCTCATGATCGGTAAACAGAATAAACTCCTTCTGTACTAGGTAGTGACGCCAATGCTTCAGGGACTGAACTATGGCATAGAACTCCAGATCATAAGTGGAATAATTTTTCTTTGATCCCGATAGCTTCTCACTGAAAAAAGCAACCGGATGACCTGCCTGACTCAGAACACCACCAATGCCAACGCCAGATGCATCACAATTTACCTCGAACACTTTGTCAAAATCTGGAAGTGCCAAAACTGGAGCCTCGGTCATCTTCTGCTTGACCAGTTGAAAACTGGCCTCTGCCTCCTCAGACCACTGGAAATCACGCCCCTTGAGGCACTCTGTGATAGGGGCGATCAAAGTACTGAAATTTCTAATGAATCGACGGTAAAAAGACGCCAAGCCATAGAAACTTCGGATGTCATGTAAGGTTCTTGGTCTGGGCCACTCCAAGACTGCATCTATCTTTGACTGATCTGCATGAACACCATCAGTAGACACAACAAAACTAAGAAAAGTCACAGAAGTAGTGAAGAAAGAACACTTCTTTTGATTGACAAACAAGCACTCCGTTTTCAGCATCTCAAAAACAGCACGGAGGTGATCGAAGTGTGAAGTCCATGTCGGACTATAAACGAGGATATCATCGAAGTAAACTACAACAAATTTCCCCATAAAAGGCCGCAAGACCTGATGCATAAATCTCATGAATGTACTGGGCGCATTGGATAACCCAAAAGGCATGACCATCCACTCATACAACCCTTGTGGCGTTTTAAACGCCGTCTTCCACTCATCTCCAGGCCTTATTCTGATTTGGTGGTAACCGCTCTTAAGGTCAATTTTTGAGAAGATCTTAGAACCAGATAGCTGATCCAACATATCATCTAGACGGGGAATTGGAAACCGGTACTTCACTGTAATTCTGTTGATCGCTCGGCTGTCAACACACATACGCCAAGAACCATCTTTCTTTGGCACTAACAGAGCAGGGACTGCACATGGGCTCATACTCTCTCGGATATAGCCCCTCTCCAACAACTCTTCCACCTGTCGCTGCAACTCTTCGGCCTCCTTGGGACTGAGGCGATATGCTGGTCGATTTGGCAAACTTGACCCAGGAACAAGGTCAATTTGATGCTGAATATCCCTCATAGGTGGTAGTCCAGGAGGAAGATCCTCTGGCATCAAGTTAGAGAATTCTTCTAGCAACCGCTGCACCTCTACTGGTAAATCTGTATCCACGTCTACTGCATTGTTCTCGCAAGGTAGCAAGGCATAGACCACGTCGCCATGCTCAATCTCATCTAAAAACCTGGACATAGAAAGCAGATTAGTATTATGGGTTACTGGGGTAGGAGTAAGTCCTTCCCGCCGGGGTGCCAACACAATCTTTTTTCCCTTGATGCTAAGGGAATATGTATTCTTCCGTCCATCATGAATGACACTGCGATCATACTGCCAAGGTCGACCCAACAATATATGACACGCATCCATAGACACAACATCACACCAGGCATTATCAAAATATTTTCTACCAATTGAAAAAGACACGAGGCATCGCCTATCAACTGTTACCTCACTGTCTTTATTTAGCCATGACAACTTGTATGGCTTAGGATGACGGTCCGTCTTCAACTGCAATTTCTGAACAACCTCCTCGGGCACTACATTCTCACAACTGCCGCTGTCAATGATCATTTTGCAGACTTTATCTGCAACTGTGCAAGTCGTGTGGAAAATATTGGTTCTCAACCAATCGTCCCCTGAATCGCCCTTGGGGGTAAGTAGACTCTTGCGAACGACCAGAGTCTCATGACCATCTCCATACAGCACATCATCAGTCTCATCATCGTCATACACGGGTTCGCCAATCTCCTCAGTCTCGTCTTCCACGTTTTCCTCAATCAACAAATTTTTGCCCTTTTGACTAGCAGGCTTCCTGCAATCAGTCGCCCTATGCCCTTGTTCACCACAACGAAAACATCTAATAGTAGGGTTAGAATTACCCTGCGGTGGCTGCTGAGCAGGACGGGACTCTTGAGGGCGAACTGGTCGACTGTTGTGATCGCTCCTGATCACTGGTCTCCTGTTTTGCTGTTTTTCAACAGCAAGTGCACGCTGGTATGCTTCCGAAACACTCCACAATGAATGAAGGCTGAGGACATCTTGCAAGGGCTGGCGTAAACCCCCCAAATATCGCGCCACCATCTGCTCCTCCGTCTCAGATAAATCGTTCCGGGCGACCAATTGGTAAAACTCCTCCGTGTAATCATCGACTGATCGCGCGCCCTGCCTCAACGCATGAAGTCGCTGAAATAAGGTTTGCGTGTAGCCGAAGGGAAGGAAGTGGCCCTTCATCTTCTTTTTCATCTTCTCCCAATCAGTGATCTTGGCTTTGCCCTGTCTTTCTCGTGAACGTCGTAACTGTTCCCACCACGCAGATGCTCTGCCCTTGAGTTTGATGGCGATCAGTTTCACTTTCACACAATCGGGGACTTTCTTATATTCAAAAATACGCTCCACTTCATTAATCCAATCCACGAATCCCTCGGCCTGTAACGTACCAGAAAACTCAAGGAGATCGACCCGAAAATCGAGGTCTCCATGACGCTCCTCCCGACCACGGTGCTCCCGAAATCCTGCGCCCCGAAATCCTGCGCGATTGTGATATGGGTTTTCGAAAGTGGAATTGGTATCGTGATCAGAGGCCTCACGATCCTCGAAATCCTGCGCCGTCAGGCGCTGGGTTAATTCTGCGACTTGCCTATGCAAATCCGCAATCATCACATCCTGAACGCTGCGATCACGGCGTTGGGCTTCCTCATTCGGAACCTGCTCACGACGACCACGACCACGACCTCCAGCCATTGAAACTGGTGAAATTTCCCAAGAAGATGTTGAAGCTCTGACACCAACTGACGCCAGACAGAATAGTGATTATCCTGTAGGCTAGCTCCGACAGACGATTCACAAGAGAAAATTCACCCAAAAACCAGAGAAAAAGTCTCTAGGGTTTAATAAAATATTATAAAATCAAAAACTATCAAAAAGCAGTCCACAAGCCGGACTGTTATAGCAAACAAATCGTCTTTATTCGAATTTTGCCAAAAATAGCAATATCCCGAAAATCACTCTAAATTGAAATTCGAAATAAAATAAGCAATCTCCCAAAAATCCGGCCTAAATCGGATTTAAATTGACTTCCTAATTAACAATCGAAATATTACCATAAATAGTAAAAAATAATTAAATCTAGTGATTCGGAGGGGAAAACGGCAGAATTTGAGGTGAAAAAAAAGGCCACATGGAGCGTAGCTCGTGGAGAGCGTGCGCGTCGAAAAGAGCTTTCCGGATTGGGGTCTTATGCGCGATTCTGACACCTGTAGCCAAAGTTATGGCCAAAAGACTGAAACATACTCAAAACGACCCCAATGAGGAACATGTCACAATCAATTCCCGCCTTTGCGCTGATCTGCCAACTCATGGTATCTCAGCGCCATCAACGTGCAATCTGACAGCTCAGCATCATCTGTCTCGGATCCCCCTGCATCAGTCACCCCGGGTTGGAAAGAACTCGTCCTCGAGTTCAGAGTAGTGTCATCAGGATCCACAAAACAATGACTCAGGTGCTTCACATTAAAGACATCATAAGTCTTCAAGTGACTGGGAAGTCGCAACCTGTAAGCATTATCATTGATCTTCTACACGACCTCACAAGGTCCAATCTTTCGATCCTTAAGCTTATTATACTCACCAACAGGAAAACGATCACGAGTTAATACAGCCCAAACAAAATCACCAACATCAAAAGTACCTGACGACGATGATTGTCAACCCGAGTCTTGTACTTGGTATTGCTCTCATGAATGGTCTGTTTCACCTGCTCATGGATACCCCGAAGATATTTTGCCATCTCATCTGCTTTAGGACTGAAACGTCCTATACGTGGAATAGGGGCTAAGTCCAACACCCCGGATGGGTTCTGACCATAGACAATCTCAAATGGGCTTAAACCTGTGGTTCTGTTTTTTGATCTGTTGTAGGCAAATTCTGCCTGAGGCAATGCCAAATCCCACTGCTTCGGCTTCGTTCCTGCCAAACACCTTAAAAGGTTTCCCAAACTTCGGTTCACCACCTCAGTCTGGCCATCCGTCTAGGGGTGGTAGGCGCTACTGAAATTCAACTGCGTTCCCAGTTTCCCCCACAGGCTCTTCCAGAAATGATTGATGAACTTAGTATCACGATCTGAAGTGATGGATCGAGGAACACCATGTAAACGCACAATCTCCTTGAAATAGAGATGGGCAATCCGGCCAGCATCCATAGTCTTTCTGCAGGCTACAAAATGAGCCATCTTGGAAAACCTGTCAACCACAACAAAGATAGAATCAGAGGCCCTTTGGGTGCGGGGTAAGCCTAGTACAAAATCCATGCTGACATCGAACCAAGGAGCTTCAGGAACAGGTAAGGGAGTGTACAATCCCGCATTGGTGAGAACTCCCTTAGACCGCTGGAACACATAACAACGGTCCACATAATGGGCCACATCACTAGTCAACTTGGGCCAATAAAATTCAGAAGAGATAAGGGCCAATGTCTTATCTCGGCCAAAGTGTCCCTCATTATGGAGTTCACTTATAATTTGCTGCCTCAATGAACAATCTGGAATGCACAATTGTAATCCACGAAACAGATACCCATTATGCAAAACAAAATCATGACGGTGACCCTCAGTTACCTCCTGAAATATCCTTCCAAAGGAAGGATCAGCTGCATACATATCTGTGAACGTCTCAAATCCTGCAACTTTAGTACTCATGGTGGTGAGAAGTAAGGTACGACGGCTCAGGGCATCTGCGACGCGGTTCAAACTCCCTGCTTGGTGCCTCAGCGTAAAAGTGAATTCTTGCAAGTATGCTACCCACTTGGCATGACGTCTACTCAGCTTGTGTTGGCCATTGATGTACTTCAAGGCCTCATGATCGGTAAACAGAATAAACTCCTTCTGTACTAGGTAGTGACGCCAATGCTTCAGGGACTGAACTATGGCATAGAACTCCAGATCATAAGTGGAATAATTTTTCTTTGATCCCGATAGCTTCTCACTGAAAAAAGCAACCGGATGACCTGCCTGACTCAGAACACCACCAATGCCAACACCAGATGCATCACAATTTACCTCGAACACTTTGTCAAAATCTGGAAGTGCCAAAACTGGAGCCTCGGTCATCTTCTGCTTGACCAGTTGAAAACTGGCCTCTGCCTCCTCAGACCACTGGAAATCACGCCCCTTGAGGCACTCTGTGATAGGGGCGATCAGAGTACTGAAATTTCTAATGAATCGACGGTAAAAAGACGCCAAGCCATGGAAACTTCGGATGTCATGTAAGGTTCTTGGTCTGGGCCACTCCAAGACTGCATCTATCTTTGACTGATCTGCATGAATACCATCAGTAGACACAACAAAACCAAGAAAAGTCACAGAAGTAGTGAAGAAAGAACACTTCTTTTGATTGACAAACAAGCACTCCGTTTTCAGCATCTCAAAAACAGCACGGAGGTGATCGAAGTGTGAAGTCCATGTCGGACTATAAACGAGGATATCATCGAAGTAAACTACAACAAATTTCCCCATAAAAGGCCGCAAGACCTGATGCATAAATCTCATGAATGTACTGGGCGCATTGGATAACCCAAAAGGCATGACCATCCACTCATACAACCCTTGTGGCGTTTTAAACGCCGTCTTCCACTCATCTCCAGGCCTTATTCTGATTTGGTGGTAACCGCTCTTAAGGTCAATTTTTGAGAAGATCTTAGAACCAGATAGCTGATCCAACATATCATCTAGACGGGGAATTGGAAACCGGTATTTCACTGTAATTCTGTTGATCGCTCGGCTGTCAACACACATACGCCAAGAACCATCTTTCTTTGGCACTAACAGAGCAGGGACTGCACATGGGGCTCATACTCTCTCGGATATAGCCCCTCTCCAACAACTCTTTCACCTGTCGCTGCAACTCTTCGGCCTGCTTGGGACTGAGGCGATATGCTGGTCGATTTGGCAAACTTGACCCAGGAACAAGGTCAATTTGATGCTGAATATCCCTCATAGGTGGTAGTCCAGGAGGAAGATCCTCTGGCATCAAGTTAGAGAATTCTTCTAGCAACCACTGCACCTCTACTGGTAAATCTGTATCCACGTCTACTGCATTGTTCTCGCAAGGTAGCAAGGCATAGACCACGTCGCCATGCTCAATCTCATCTAAAAACCTGGACATAGAAAGCAGATTAGTATTATGGGTTACTGGGGTAGGAGTAAGTCCTTCCCGCCGGGGTGCCAACACAATCTTTTTTCCCTTGATGCTAAGGGAATATGTATTCTTCCGTCCATCATGAATGACACTGCGATCATACTGCCAAGGTCGACCCACAATATATGACACGCATCCATAGACACAACATCACACCAGGCATTATCAAAATATTTTCTACCAATTGAAAAAGACACGAGGCATCGCCTATCAACTGTTACCTCACTGTCTTTATTTAGCCATGACAACTTGTATGGCTTAGGATGACGGTCCGTCTTCAACTGCAATTTCTGGACAACCTCCTCGGACACTACATTCTCACAACTGCCGCTGTCAATGATCATTTTGCAGACTTTATCTGCAACTGTGCAAGTCGTGTGGAAAATATTGGTTCTCAACCAATCGTCCCCTGAATCGCCCTTGGGGGTAAGTAGACTCTTGCGAACGACCAGAGTCTCATGACCATCTCCATACAGCACATCATCAGTCTCATCATCGTCATACACGGGTTCGCCAATCCTCAGTCTCGTCTTCCACGTTTTCCTCAATCAACAAATTTTTGCCCTTTTGACTAGCAGGCTTCCTGCAATCAGTCGCCCTATGCCCTTGTTCACCACAACGAAAACATCTAATTGTAGGGTTAGAATTACCCTGCGGTGGCTGCTGAGCAGGACGGGACTCTTGAGGGCGAACTGGTCGACTGTTGTGATCGCTCCTGATCACTGGTCTCCTGTTTTGCTGTTTTTCAACAGCAAGTGCACGCTGGTATGCTTCCGAAAACTCCACAATGAATGAAAGCTGAGGACATCTTGCAAGGGCTGGCGTAAACCCCCCAAATATCGCGCCACCATCTGCTCCTCCGTCTCAGATAAATCGTTCCGGGCGACCAATTGGTAAAACTCCTCCGTGTAATCATCGACTGATCGCGCGCCCTGCCTCAACGCATGAAGTCGCTGAAATAAGGTTTGCGTGTAGCCGAAGGGAAGGAAGTGGCCCTTCATCTTCTTTTTCATCTTCTCCCAATCAGTGATCTTGGCTTTGCCCTGTCTTTCTCGTGAACGTCGTAACTGTTCCCACCACGCAGATGCTCTGCCCTTGAGTTTGATGGCGATCAGTTTCACTTTCACACGATCGGGGACTTCCTTATATTCAAAAATACGCTCCACTTCATTAATCCAATCCACGAATCCCTCGGCCTGTAACGTACCAGAAAACTCAGGGAGATCGACCCGAAAACCGAGGTCTCCATGACGCTCCTCCCGACCACGGTGCTCCCAAAATCCTGCGCCCCGAAACCCTGCGCGATTGTGATATGGGTTTTCGAAAGTGGAATTGGTATCGTGATCAGAGGCCTCACGATCCTCGAAATCCTGCGCCGCCAGGCGCTGGGTTAATTCTGCGACTTGCCTCTGCAAATCCGCAATCATCACATCCTGAACGCTGCGATCACGGCGTTGGGCTTCCTCATTCGGAACCTGCTCACGACGACCACGACCACGACCTCCAGCCATTGAAACTGGTGAAATTTCCCAAGAAGATGTTGAAGCTCTGACACCAACTGACGCCAGACAGAATAGTGATTATCCTGTAGGCTAGCTCCGACAGACGATTCACAAGAGAAAATTCACCCAAAAACCAGAGAAAAAGTCTCTAGGGTTTAATAAAATATTATAAAATCAAAAACTATCAAAAAGCAGTCCACAAGCCGGACTGTTATAGCAAACAAATCGTCTTTATTCGAATTTTGCCAAAAGTAGCAAAATCCCGAAAATCACTCTAAATTGAAATTCGAAATAAAATAAGCAATCTCCCAAAAAACCGGCCTAAATCGGATTTAAATTGACTTCCTAATTAACAATCGAAATATTACCATAAATAGTAAAAAATAACTAAATCTAGTGATTCGGAGGGGAAAACGGCAGAATTTGAGGTTGAAAAAAGGCCACATGGAGCGTAGCTCGTGGAGAGCGTGCACGTCGAAAAGAGCTTTCCGGATTGGGGTCTTATGCGCGATTCTGACACCTGTAGCCAAAGTTATGGCCAAAAGACTGAAACATACTCAAAACGACCCCAATGAGGAACATGTCACAATCAATTCCCGCCTTTGCGCTGATCTGCCAACTCATGGTATCTCAGCGCCATCAACGTGCAATCTGACAGCTCAGCATCATCTGTCTCGGATCCCCCTGCATCAAGTATCCTCTTGGCCAATAAGGTACTACTTTGCGAGCAAACACTACCATTAACATACACATAAAGCATAACGCTTTAGAGCCTATCTATTAGTCCTCAAACTCAATACAGTCATTGGCACATGGCAGTATGATCATTCATCCGCATCTTCCCCGTCAACCCCTTCATACAACTTGACTTCCTTGGGGATTTGGCCATCAGCTGGAAGACACTGAGCGTCACCGGGAATGTATTTCATGATAATGTCTGTTTTATCATCTTGATAGTCCCCAAGTCCCACAAGGACAACGTCGCCAGCATTGATCCAGGCCCTTTTGTGCAACTTGCTGGGGATGTGGCAAAGCCGCTTGATTCCGACAATGCATGTGGCTTTACATTGGCCATCGCCCAGCATGCAGACGACCAGAGCATACTCTTGGCCGTTTGTTTTGTAGATCAACTCTCATTTATCGTATTCAGCTTCAGTCCTTCCTCTCTTCCTATTCTTTCCTCCTTTCCCTTTGTTCTTCGGCTTTCTTTAATTAGCTTTGTTTGCTACCTCTGCTTATTAAAATAAATAAATAAATTACTTCACTGAATTTCTTTTAGTCACTAAACTTAAAAATACTTTCATTTCGGTTATTTTAACAACAATTGAATCTGAATTTTAAAACGTTTATTATCAAATTTTAAATTCGAATGAATTTGATTAATTTATGAAACTTTTGATCAGGCCTATTAATTATGACCTTTTGTTTTCATTTCATCTTTCATTTAAGCATGCATTTTAAAATGGAAAAGAAGACTGATGTGATTATCATTCTCTCAGTGGGCGTTTTTTTCACAGGTTTTGCTTCGTCAAAGGGCAACGGTTGTGGCTTTGGCTTGCCACCGCCCGTCCTTTCGCCTATAACTTTCTCTTTCTTGTTTTCGAGTCTGGTGTACATAAATAAGATTCCACTCTCTTTGCTGAGAGTTATTGCCAGTTTCCGTTTGTATTTCTGTTGGTTCTTTTAGTTTTTATTTGTTTTAGTTGTGGTCACCGGACGTTTCCTACTTTAATTTTGTCGTATGCATGACCTTGACAAACAATGGCGAGTGTCGGGCCGTGATAACCAATGAGGGTCTTCTGCAGAACATGCTTACCTAACAAAATCTTTACCATCGGCTTCCAACACAACTAAAAGCATCTCAAAATAAGTACCTACATATAGAAAACTAAATTGACGTAGATTGTTAATCCACTTCCAAATCCATACAAACTCGTCAACATGGGAGGAAAGTCTATCCATTTACTTTTACATTCTATCTTTTTCTCACGATCTGAGCGGAGAAACAAAAACAACAAAGGGTTAGTGGGCAGAACTCGATCGAACAAGCAGGAGTTGGTTAGTGCCTGATGGTTAACTCAGCCCTAAGATGGAGAATACCATTTATGAAGTAAAGACTGTCTTCAGCCATGAAAGAAGTCCAAGGTATAGCAAATAAATTCCTATACCCAACTGCCTTGCCGCCGGTGAATGTGTAGTTGCCTTTGTATTTGCTAACAAACTCCTCTGTTGGCTTTGTCCTCGCTGCAAATTCATAGTCCACTGCGAAACTAACTGAACCCTTTTCCTGCATCCCTAAAAACAACCCGAAGCAATGGAAAGAGCTCTGCTGGTCCATGTTGCAATGGGCTGACAGGAAGAAACCTTGTCCACCCAGGTGGAAAGCCTGAGAATAAACCCGTCCAGATGGGAATAAATTTGCACACTCTTCTCTTTTTAAGTCCAGGTATACGACGCATTGCTGACGGGGGAGTTCAAATTCCACCACCTTAACAGGTCGATACTTGTAAGCTCGCTCGATAAAGCGACGGTTCAAGCTGGCAGACTCCTCTGCGACCAAGCTTCGTTTTTTGTGTGGGGCTTCGGCCTTGAAAAAGAGGGCCTCGAGCACAAGCTTTGATGAAACCTCATGATCAAAATCATTACTTGTTAACACCTTCTTAAGTTTCCGGCATGTCATATAAGGGAAGCGAATGAAGCGTGCAAGGCGAGAACCGAGCACTTCCCTACGATCTTCCAATTTTGGATACTGAGCCCTAGCCCACTTCAACACAAAGTCATACACCGCATCTTCAGACGCTATTTGCAGATCATCACTGGACAGTATTGCCTCAATCCCAGCTAGTGGCAAAGCCATTACCTCTTCTTGGAACCTGATAAAATGTGCTCCAGAAGAATAAATAAGCATTTAAATATGCATGATTTCTACTTTGAATATGGCATAAAGGGTGTGAGAGAGAGAGAGAGAGAGAGGAGAACTAAATTTACACTGCTTGGACTGTTCTGTTGTCATTAACATTACCTTTCAATTTATCATTAAGTTTTCCCAAGAATATAGCATTAAACCTTCAAAAAATTTCTTTTTGAAAAATAACATTAAAGCCAGTTGTCCATTTTAATAATGCAAAATTTCAGATCGTATAGATCCGAGGAGCTCAAAAGAATACTGCTAGGACTATGTAAGTTGAAGACTGGAAACCGTAGTATTATTGGCAATTCAAACTAGATGTGGTATGTAATCACATCACAATACAATACTAATAGAACTATCAATTTCATGTCAGAATAAGGAAAAAAAAGGTCTCGAGTGGAGAACATGAACTTACTTGGTAATGTCTTTGTATCGGGCAGCGAGATACTGCTTTGCAGCATCTGTCAATGGTTGGACAGCATCAGCCATTAATACACTCGATGGAAGATCCAAGTAAAGCAGAGATGACTCTGGTGTCATAGGTATATTGCGCAATAGCCTGCTGCAGTATCTCATACAAGAGGCAACCTCAAATTTGTCAGCAGCCATCAGCACATCAAGCAATTCGGGAGCTGTGGTGACGGATAGGTTGGTGCTATACATAAAATTTAAAAGCTCCATGAGAGCAGCTTCCTCTGTACATGATAATGTAAAACTTTGTCATTTAACTTAGCCTGCTCACACTTGTTTGAATAAGAAACATAACCAATAACCATAACCCGAAGAGTATGCATACCAGAGGCATTGATTCTTAAGGTTACGTGCCGCTGCTCCGACTCCCTCATCCCATTTGAGAAAAGCTACAATTTATCAATAAACAAGTAAAAGAAAAGTAATTATTAACAAAGAAAAGGGGGAGAAATATTATTGCAAACTCATTTGCATTCTTGAAACAACAACAATCTCTTACCTTGTAAAAGAATGGACTTTTTGCTGCTAAAATGGGAGAACTGATATGCAAGGTTTTAACCCTCAGAACTGTAGAACAATCCATGCTCCAGTTTGATTCATTGCTATTAGCATCCTCACCACCTACAAAAGTTCAAAGCAAGATCAGAATGTGTACCACGGGAAAGGGTAGTAAATGAACCAAATTGTATGTTGTCTGAAGTCTAAACAACAACAAAACCTGATTGCGTTTCTTCAACCATTGCCATTGGCTCCTCATCTTGATTCTCACAGCCACCATCATCCATATCAGGTTGGTTGTCATTTAAAATCTGCTCCTCAGGACATAAACTAAGATCCAAAACTGGAAAAGAAAATAAAACGCGTTAAAACTCAGTCTACAACACGAAACGAGCTGCATTCTTATAAAAATATATAATCACAAGGATTCCAAGACAGCACAAAATTATACAGAATGTGAGTCAAATTTAGGAACATAGCAATTTAGCACAATATTTTCTTTACAAAATTTCCAATTGATAAATTTCTTCTCTTCACCAACTCAAGTCCACAAAGAATCGCTTTCACAAATTAAATTAGTAGGTTTCACATCTCTAGTTTCTATGATTTTATGAGCCAGCCAAACAGAAGCAATGAGATAGTTGTAGAAAGAAATAAGAAGGAAACATAAACAAACCGGTTTCCTTCTTGATATCCTCTCGACGCCTTTTACGGTCGCGAGCCCAATTGGCGATGCTGGTGCAATCCTCTCCATCGGAGCGGCACTGAGGGGCTCCACCCATAATCTCAATCCGAAGAAGCCGGTCGGAGAAATTACTATCGTTGAAAGCGAAACCGAAGTCGCCATCGGAGCTAGAGGCCGCACGCGAAAACTCCGAAACCATCTCAGTTCTCGGGTCGAAAAGATCCGAATTCAACTGATCTCTCATTGATTCCGATCCGGCGATCCCCACCTAAAGCAACAAGCAGATGAAATGAGATAGCAAAACAAAGGAAACCCTAGAAATTAAGAAGTGAGGTTTCTCCAAACTAAAACGAGGGAGGAGATAGATTTAGTTTAGCCTTAAGAACCAAATTGTAAATAACCGTAATAAAACTGAAGAAAGCTCCTCATTTGCAGCCTTTTTGTAGTAAGAATTTGTTTGAACTATTTTTTTATTTTGATTTTTCATCTCATTTGTTAGGCTTCCTGGTATTTTCGCCTCAATTTCTCCTCCAATTCAGTGGAATTATATAAATAAAATAAAATATTTTATAATTTCCATCAATTGCACGAAATTGAAAATTGTATTATGTTTTTAATAATGTGACACTATATGATTTATTGTCGGTGATGCAAATAATTGATTATATATTTAAATATTATTTATAAAACAAATTATTAAAAATTTATGATTTTTTTTAAAATTGAGGTAAATATAAAATAGTATTTATTCTAAGATTTACAATCCTTTAACGATGAAGATTCATACCCTACACACGTGATGCTTGAATTTAAGGTCTCGTAAAATAATAATAAAGTTTTTAACAATTAAGTTGTTACGTACTAAGTGATCAGGGAATCATATATGTTTCTATGAAAAACATTAAACAATTTTCATAAAAGAACAGTCTTAAACAACTATATGAGCATTGGTCACAATTTCTGTACGGACCTCGTGACATATGCAGTATGTCTTACATCAATATGATGTGCTGAAAATTAAATTAAATTAAAATTTTAAACATAAAATTTATATATCATAATACATTTTTCATTAAAATTCATGTGAAATTTCAAGATCCATACGAATCTATAAATACAGAAGAAAACGTATATTCCGATAAACTACAGGTTGACAAGTCAAGTCCGCAGCCTCTCATGTTTGCCCGTAAAAAGCGGAGGTATCCATGAGCCAGCAGATTGCGTACACCCTCCTGAACCAGAAAAAAGAAAACAGGGTCAAGGCAATATTAATGGAATCTGAACTGAAAGTGTAGCTAAAACCCACAAATTTAGTGGACCCTTCTTAGATGCTGGCCCAAGGTTTAGGTTAAGCTAACATGTATCAATATCGGCCATGGAATTTTCTTTCTTTAAGATGGAGATCGAAGAAATTTCAACGCTCTTCTTTTGAAAATTACATATCATAATATTGAATAAAAATTTGGTCCAAATTTAAAGAAAGGGGTGTTGAAGTTTAGAACCCAAGAGAGCTCCCTTCACCCCAATACCAAAAAAATGGAGGCAAGCCACGTCTCCTAGCTCATGCTAACCCTTGGCCTGCGTGCGCAGGGCAGGGGTATCCATGAACTAGCAGGCGTAGCAATCGAGCCACACCACTTTTCAGCGTTGAAGTGTCGAGAGCTCCTTCGAGCACCGCCCCCCAAAACCCAAAACCCGGCTCCCGTTTAACACCGACTTGGTCCTAATGGCTCGAATTCGATCCTTTTTATAGGTGCTGGGGCCAAACTCCGGAATCTGGATTATTAAACTTTAAAGATATTGAAAATCTAGTTGGATTTTGTTCTTTATTCCGAGTGAAAAGTTGCATGTAATTAATGTGACAAATTAGCTTTTAAGACCACACTAATCCATTTTTCCGTTTCACCTAAAGGTAAAACTATACAACTTTTAAATTACTTTTAAACTACTTCTTACCAACTAATTTTAATTTTATTTCATGAACAATCATTTCCTATCGACAGATTGTTGTTCAGTGATAAAATTTAACCTTGATTCTAAAATTATTGTGCGATATTTAAATCATATACTAATTCTTTATTTCTCATTTAATTATAAAATCTGTAATGCTTATTCCATAAAAAAAAAAACTGATCCCTATCCCTTTCTTCTGCCGTAAAAAGAAACTTTATCTTAAAAGAAAATTAGTGCACAGTACGTTACATGGGAGGACAACTTTTTTATCTGTCAAGAGAAAAAAACAACAACATAAAATTAGAGGCGTTTAAAAGAACAGTTATGTTACATAGAGGACACATATCGGCGAGGAGTTAAAACCAAAACATAAAACTGCGGCGTCTAAAGGAACTAGTTATATATAACTCAAATCATGACTAGATAAATTAGATAAATAATCGTTCTCGATCTAGATTAAATCAATAGTGCACAGCACATTACATAGATGGACAGATTTTTATTGGCCAAAAGAAAAAGACAACATAAAACTAGCGTCTAAAAAAACAGTTATATCGTATCAAAACCAAGTCCTAATTACTGCCTTTCTTACCCACAATAGATTGATCTAATAGAATAAAATACTGAATTTATTACTCGAATCTTTATATATACTAATAGAATAAATTATATACCAGTGATTTTATGAAAAGAAAATTACTACCTTTCTTTTGCTACAGCATCAGGCTTCCCTGCGATCATTAATGATGGCTCCATGTCTCAGCAACCATATTAAATGTTCTTCCCATAAAACGATTTGGCCATGCAACATTATTGTGATCACTAATAATAGCTCCTGCTTCAAAGCACAAATAAAGATTTAAAAAAAGGTCAATCAAATTAAAAAAAAATATTTTATTCAATTATTATATCGGCAAAAAGTTTAAAATAAAAGACGACATTAACTATTAAATTTCAAGATAACAAAAAACGGTCAACAAATTTTTTTTTATTAGAGAGATATCACTAAATACAAATGAAACACTCAAATCTTCTTCTTTAAGTCAATCATGAGGGAACACAACACAATAAACTCGATACATGGACGGTCATGAATTGTCAAACCGATAATAAAAGAGAGAGGAGATAGATAGAAAAAAGAAACTAATAAAAAGAAAAATAAAATAATGAAGGCGGGTGAAGGGCATATGCAAGGAATGGATGGTCATGAATTGACAAACCGATAATAAAAGTGTTAGCTAGGAGTAGGGTCGACGGATAAAAGAAATACGATAATGAAAATCAAAGAAAAAAAAGAAAACGGAAGAGAAGAAAAAAAAGTAGGAATAGGAAAATAAAAATGACCGACAAACAATAATCGTTCGTATCAAAATCGTTTTTGTCAAAAATAGGAGTAAGAAAATATATATAAGACAACTAGGACAATTACGGAAAAAATTATTAATCGTTTTATTTTCCTCGTTACACTTAGAATAATTTAATGCAACATATATGCTTCTGACGGTTAAAAAACTTTAACGGCTAACTTAACTACTGCGAGGAAATCGTGATGTGAGAATTTTTTTTAAAAGGTTTGATTTGAGATTTAAGTGTTTAGTATTATTGTCATCAAATACTTTTAAGAAGATAAATAATCATTTCAGACATGATGTTACAAGATAAAATAGATGTATTTATAATAGTGTGTCTAAAATATTTTTTTAGGTGAACACATATGTTGACGATACATAATTTCAAGATCGACACAATCAGTAAAATAAATAACAAACATAACAAAATTCTAATTTTAGGGTGTGCGCTTATCTACCCTAAATACAATATGCATATTTTACTATGTGTTTAAATAATATTTAAATTATAATATATAAAATAAATAAACTTAAATTATAATTATATAATTTTAATAATTTATCTATAAAAATAAAATAAAAATAACATGGTAGATATAAAAAAATTGAATTATAAAAATTTTATTAAATATATAACTGTATTTTGATAATAAAAAATTATAAATTCAAAAAAAATTACAAAAAATATTAAGTATAAATTACCATCTCTTTACATTATATTTGTATAAAAATATATTCACTTTCCATTTTATAAATTATAAGAATATGATTTGACGTACATATTTTAATCATTCAATAAATCTGATTTTTCGTACAACCTTGTCTTTTGAGATATTTGATACTTAACATACATGCGTATTAGCAAATCCGGTCATATTAACATTGTTCGAAAAATGAATGATTAAACTTAATTATTTTACTTGATTAAACGTTCTTCGCTGGGATATCATTTAATTTCTCGTTACACATCTAATCCCGTGATTATAGGCCAAAAACATAAGTTTGTGTCTTCCAACATGTAGTGTCTCAACCAACATCAACCCTGCAATGCATTGAGCCCTTTGCGGCTTTTGCACGAGATTGCTGCCCTTCTAACCTTGCTTCTAGTAGTTTTGCTTTCAGGGTGTTCTCCTTAAAACCCGGAGGCAATTTCAGAAAAGAATATGTTCTCTCGAAATCGGGAGACGTCAGCTTCGAGACCCATTGTCGAACTGGACTAGCACGACCTTTGAATACAGATTGAACACATGATTCTTCCCTCAAGCTACACTCAGGATGAACTTTGTCACCTTCTGAGGACAAGGAATGGTTTCTGATTAAGCTATCGAGCACGTTACTAGAGCTCAGTCCACGGCTCGCGTTCTGTTTCACCTTATTACCGTGGCTAGTATCTCCGCTAGCCATTTGTTTGTCAAACCGACCTCGGAAACTGCGAGATTTACTCCTCTTGACGGCATCTTGAGACTGTACCTTTTTCCTTGTCAAAATTTGGTTTCCTAATTCTTCACGATGACATACTAAAGCAATGTCCCCATGAAGTTTACAGCTCCCCTTGCTTTGAACTCTGTTGGCAGTTTTCTTCGGTTCATAACACTGCAAATCGCTATCGCTGGAATATTCTTCATCAACTGCACCTTGAGGGGCACTAACAGCCTCTTTTAATGGAAAAGACTCTAAAGAATGTTGATGTGAGCATTTCCCTTTAAAATCACTTTTCCTTGACCCAGTGGAACGTTTGGCTTCAAGAAAAGTTTCTATATCGAGGCTTAACTTGTCGACAATGGAACTCTTTTCTGCAAGATCGGTTTGACCTTCTGCTAGTTTCATTTGCATCCGCTCATCAAGCCATGCCTCTGAAATGTGGAGAATTAGCCGCTCAGGTTTTTCGCCATCAACGTGATCAATCTCATGCATGTGCTTAAGGAACCGCATCTCCTGTTCGTATTCTCTAACTCCCCTAGCAAACTCATCACACAAGTTCTCCAATAGAATTCGTGCTTTTCTCTCTCTCTCGAGTTCTTTCAAAGCATTAGTGAAAGACGATCTTACCTCCGAGAGTTCTCGAGCTAGCTTTAGGTGCATGCTTTCGGAGCGCTTTCTTAACCTCATCTCGTTTTCCAGCTCATCTCTTACCAGCTGAACAACAGCTTTGACTTTATCTTGCTCTTTGTTCTTCCTAATGAACTTATCCTCCGTAACTTGCTTCATCAAATTGTTCATTTCCTGCCTTTCTGTTTGCTGTTCTCGCAACAACTCTTTGATCCGACCCCGAGAATGACCCAGCTCCATTTTCAGATCATTTACCAAGGACATGTTCGATACATGCTGTTCTTCAAGAGACCAGATTCGGTTGAGTACCTTGAGCAACTCTGTTGATGTCTTGAGGCTATAACTTGATCTCTCATACCTTCCCTTGAAATCCAAAGAAGTAGATGGAGCCGCCGCTGGGTCAGAAGGTGCTATCTGCAAAGAAAACAACTATGAATCCATTTATGCGATATGGCTGCAGTAAATTATTTGTTTCTACTGAAAACTAAAAGGTAGTGTCCTTAATGACCGAGGATAGATGGTGACCTCCAGTGAGCTTCCGCAACTAGCTGGAGATACAGACTGTGGAGCACGGCCATTTCTTTCAACTGATCGACGGTGTTGCATCGGTGATGCCGAACTATGCTTCCTCAAGCTTCTTGCACTTGCTGGCTGATATTATAGTCAAGGCAAATATTAATTCAAGGCTATGCACCCATTTTTACCAAACAAGGGAAACATTGTAGACACAAATAACCAGTTTTCCCTTATGGCGAATAAGATCGACAAGTCAGATTTCAGAGAAGAGAAATCGTCTTCAACTAAATGGCGATGTGTCTAAATCAGATAATAAAATAAGCAAAAGAATCACGTAAAATACAAAATCTAAGCAAATGAACTCACCAATCAAGCTAGTACACAACTTGGAAGACGACATTAATACAAAGACATGGCTTTTCAGTTCAAACTAGCCATAAATAAGCATCAATGGTGACTAAAGCAACTGGAAGTGAAACTTAAAGAGAATAAAGAAGAAATAAACGCATGTTACCCTAGACCAAACGTGTGCCCCCCACAGAAGCAACAGGAAAAACCAGACATGTCGACAATTAGTGTCGAAAAGAGGCAAAATCTTCCGCATTCACAGCAAAGAACAAGCAGAAGAAAGAAAATTAAAAGAATTAAGAGAGACAGACAGAGAGCAACAGAACACCAAGACAATGGACAGCAAAGCAACTAAACAATTAGAATCCAGAAAAAGCAAAACCTTTTACTTACTTTAACAAATAATGAAAATTTAAACAAAAGCTTAAAACTTTAGAGAGAAAAAATGAACTACCTGATCAAGGGGAGTATGAGGAAGATCAGCAGCAGCATCAAAACCTTTGTCTTTAAAATGTTGAAGGCGAAGCTTGGAAGCTCCTTTGTGAATAGTGGGAAGTGAGTAATGAGGGTGAAGGTCCCAAAGATTTGCACAGAATTTTCTGGCGGAAACAGAAGATCCATTGGAAAGTTGGAGGAACTCTGGGGTATTGGCATTTTGAGAGGAGAACTCAAGTCTCCAAGTGGGTGAAGGAGTAGAGGGGCCAGCTCTTTTCCCTACCAGGATCCCGCCTTTCAACTTTTTGGCCATGAAATCTTGATTTTCCCCTTCACTCTGCGCACTTTTTTCTTTTCTTTCCATCACTGTACACACACACACACACTGTGTTTTCAAAATTTAAAACTGTGGGTTCTTTCTTCAATCATTCCACTGACATTATTTGCTCTCTTTTCTTCGCTTGTGTTCATCTCTGCTCAGAGGTTTTGCTCAACCTCCCAAGACTCGAATTTCCACCGCTACTTGGCATGTGCGGTTCTTCCTCTGTTTTCTTTCTCCTTCTAATTTGTTCCTTAATTTAGGACTGACATATCTATTTACTCATTGCCTTTGGATTCCCTCAAGTCTAGGCCATTCCTATATCTAATCTACATCGTATCCTCGTTTCTTTTACTATCTATTTTCCCCCTTTGTCATGTAATGATTTACTTTATTTTCTTTGTTATGTTCATCCTGATATTGTATTATCCAAGTTATTATATATAAACATATCGACGTAAGTTTAAGTATATAATTAATATTAATTTTAAATGTAATTCTTGAATAAATTTTTATCAAAAAATATATTGCATCCATTCATCAAAGTTAGAATGCCGGCAAATAAACCAATTATTGAGCTCTTTTTGTCAACATGCCATACAGATAGGACACATTCTACAGAATAAATTGTTTTCTATGCTTTACTATCTCATTCAAAACAATCAAGTTACCTTTTTCAAAGTCAAAATATGAAGGTTTAGTATATAATTTTTATGCTTAAATTAATAAAAATATTTAAAATGATAAATAAATTAAATACATTCTTAATTAAAAATAACATGCAATTGGAGAATGGGAAAGCTCGTTTTTTTTTAAAAAATATCTTAATTTTTTCTCTTTTTCACTACCAGATGTATGCCTTTCTTTTTCTTTCTTTTGATTTTGTTTGCATGGCACAAATCTTAATAATGATCTTCAACAGTTAATGTTCATCTTTAACTCTTAATTTTTAATAAAATTTTCTTTTGTTTGATTTCTTAATTTTCGTACATTTTGTGTATGTTCGACAATTTTTTTGACATGTTTTAACTTTGTTCCCGTAGTACGTTGGCACGTTGTTCGTCTACTTCTATGATAGATTTGCGATCGTGTAGAGATTCCCACGACGCTTGTATCTGATTTACAATTATTGATAGTTTTTCAGTGATTATATTTTTTTTGTGGTTATTTGTAATGTATCGAGATCTATTTTATAAAGCGGTTTGAAGTATGCTTTGGTCCATATTATTTACAACATCTGCATGCCAAAATTCGGTTTTACCAGTCAATTAACGCATCCAATATCATAATTTAATCTTGTGGAAACAAGCACAAGGATTGATAACCAACGATGGACCACTTCAAAAAGTTGTTCCGTCGAACGTGGTCCTAGCCAAAGCTCACGCAGTTTTACTTTATAACATAAATGCACGACCACATTCCGAAAAAAAATTAGTTCCCCACCATATGTGATAAAATCATCCTTCCTCGCCGAACCATGTTGATGCCATCATTATTCTCACTTATATACCCACCCCATGACATAACATGAATCAATGAATATAGCTGGTTAGGTTTTCCCCCCCTCTACACGGTTGGTCGTTGGTTTCTTCAATAAGTCAATCTGCTACCCGCAAAAGGAAAAATTTAAAGTTAAACTTTGATAAGTTTTAGCCTAAAATATTATTTTATCTATTTTTAAAAGTTACACAATTAATAATAATTTTAATTACAATAAAAAATGTTACATCGTGGTAGGATTTTATAGACACCCGTTTTTATCCGGGTATACAAAAATATTTTATTTATTTATTATTTTTTTTTGCAGGCCCCACACTCAACAATCCTGATTTAGTAAGATTCAGAAAATAAATCAATGCATTTGAGTCATATTGAAACACTAAAACCAACGTATTTGAGTCCTATTAAAACACTAAAACTGAAGCATTTGAGTCCAAGTATGACTCTAAATCTGAGCTAAAAATAAGTTTCTTTAGACTATAAATAGACTCAAACATCAAGAGAAAAAGACACAGAGAAAAACGTAGAATCAAAATCAGAGGAAGGGGCAACGATTTGGAAAAACCGAGGGAAAAAATGACAAAAATAAGCGTGGAGGATCCAAAGCCAGTATCTAAAAACACGAGGAGTGGCAGAACATTTTCATTACAAATCCAGTTTATCTACACGCAAAACATGAGAAACGTAACAACTTTCGTCTTATTCTTTTTATTTCATTTTTTATTTATTTACTTTATATATATATTTCATTTTCTCCTAATTTTAATATTTTTATTTCTTTTTACATTGTTATATATATATATATATTTATTTTTTATTAATATTATTATATTAATATATTTTATTATTCTTTTCTCATGTTTATTTTTATTTTTACAATCCAAAACTTTTGATTTTTTAGGGATACTTTCAATCGATTAAAGGCAATTAATTCGAATTGAATTTTTGAATTTAAATTTAAATTTTTATTTTCGCAAATAAAGACAACCGGAAAATTAATTGGTACCGAAAGGACGGTTCAAGGGTGCTAATCATTCTTTGACCGTAACCGACTCTCGAATCCGACACGTTTCTGGTACAACGCATATCGGATAAGATGGTGTCTGACCCACTTAAATTAGTTTTAAATGGTTGTTGGCGACTCTAACCCGATTCATTCACGTCGAAGCCCAATTCTGGGCCCATCTGAAAGACGGTTCTGACAGCTTGGCGACTCCGCTAGGGACAGGTAAGTGAGTCAGGCCGAAATTAATTTCTGGCTGTCTTTTTAGCGAAAATTACAAGTTTAAATTTTAATTTATTTATTCGATTCTTATGATTTAACTTTGATTATTTTTTCAAATAAATAATTGTACTAACGTTTTTTTAATGATTTCAGATATTTTTCAAAATTGTCATCTCTAGCTCTATACCCGAGCTCCGAACCATTTTAAGTGGGGGTGAAAGCGACGCCTTCGTGAGAATTTATTCTCCGTATGAGCCTAGCAAATAACTTTCGAGATTCATATACCTTATGTCTTCGTGTGAATTTATTCTCCGTATAGGCATAAGGGAATGTTTCCTCTCGAGTTTAACTTAGTCCATACAAGCTTGTAATGAGCTTAGGACTAAGGGTCTGACAAGCCCAAGGGGGCACCAACGATGAGAACTCGGGTACCTTCTTTAGAACCTAAACCGAGAGACTACAAGGAATTAGAGCCCACCCCAAAACCTCATTCAAACCCTAGGCTGCTTTGATTTTATTTCTTGCTTTATTTTCTGTTCAAAACATGCGAACTAGACAAATATGCGGTTAGAATTTGTTTGAAATTAGCATGCGGGATAGAGATCATGTTCGGGTAAGAATTAAAGCATGTAGGGTAGATATCATGTGGGGAGGATTTGTTTTTCATTTTTATTGTTTTGATTTACCTCACTAACTCTTTTTTGTTCTCTTTCATTTTATTTTCATCACTTGCATCATTTAAAAGAGGTGTTGATCCACCAAAAACGTGTTTGTTACACATGTATAATCTACATTAATGGACAAAGAGGTTGTAATACAAGAGATAAAAATGCAGAGGACAGTCTACAATGCGACTATGTGTCACATTCAATCCAGAAGACGTGGTGCCCACAATTGAAGAGTATATCACTCTGCTGCATTATAAATGACTCAGAATGAACCGGGTCTACACCAAGCACAATGAAAGTCTATATTTGAAGAATAGACTAGCAGAGGTTGCAAGAGTAAGATGAAGGTTATTGATCTTGGGAATCCCTTCAAAGACAAAAATGGCAAAACGATAGCTAAAATTGAAGACCATTGCTGACGAATTCAAAAAACAGACAAACTAACTTCACATAATTCATATCAAGGGCTCCAATGACGTATTCGTTTGGAACAAGTTCAACAAAAGATAAATGCCAGAGATGCAGTCATTCGAGACTTCTTGGGCCAGTACAAAAAGTAACTCAACATTTGCACGGTTCAGAGCGGTTCGAAAGGTTATTTAACCGATGACAGACGAAGGTAGAAGACTAGTCAACATGTCAGAAGCTGTCAGGATATTTTTGTCTCTTAAAAGATAAAACACTTTTGTCCCCAATGAGGATTATTTATAATAACAGACACATTTTTGGATCAATGCCTCAAACATTGCATGCATCATGCATTTTTATATATTTCACATTATTTTTCTCTTTTTTTATTACATTCACATGTCTCATAAAAAATGGAAACATTTCGATTCTATTCCCAGGATTTACAAGGAACTTTACAAATAACTTGTGACACCCATGTAGTGTCACCATATCCGGTAGAACCCATGAAGCCCCCATACCCCAAGTGGTATAACGAGAATACTCATTGTGAATATCGCGGCGGTGTCCTAGGGCACACAATTGAGAACTGTTACGCATTCAAGAAAGTCGTACAGAATATGCGTAACCAGAACTGTATCGACTTCAACAACTTGGGGGCATCCAAGTGAGGAAGATCACTTCATCATTTGAGGCATTCTGTTTGAGTTTGTTTTTTTCATTTTTTTCTCAATTTTTTGTAAGAATATTTGAATAAATTTATGTTACTTTAATGATGACGAGCAATGAATCACATTTGCAAACTTGCAACTCTTTGAATATCAAATGAGTTAAAAAACTCTGCAAATGATCCAGAGTTACATATTTTTGATGAAGTAACATGATTAAAAGCCAATAAAACCAAGGACTTTGACCTTACCCAGAGTATACCCTCAAACACCGTACCCTACTCTTGCAATTAACCAATATAACATTTTCCTTTCATATGGTGCGGACAACATGGGGCGTCCGCTTGCATATAACATTACTATGTTTTTTATTTAAGACGTTCAGTGATGATAATGATCTTTACAGATGGAAGAGTCAAGTAAGCAAATCTAGTTTAGATCAGTTGTTTGGAAATTAAACTCTAAAGATGAGATTCCTTGACTTTCAAAAATACCTAAACTATAACAGGTTCTTCTTGACAATCTTAATAAATTAAATCCGTAAATGTGAGATATTACACTAAGGTAATTGGTTACAGAGGAAACTCGAAAGCCATGGCTTTATGAATAGTTTTCATTCAAACCATAACATTGCTCGGACACTTGGCAATTCGGTGTTTGCTCCACTGCTTTTGTCAGGCCGAAGACTCTGTGATGAGATGAACCCTTCAGTTAACTTGATAAAAGTTATTATAATATTAAGTTGTCCATCTAAATCAATTGGTTAAACACCCCGGCTTTATGGATTCAGCTAGCCAGATAACGGCAAGTTAAATCAATTTTATCTAAGCAAAAAATTTTCGGTAATGATGGACTAAGGGAGTTAAGGAACACTTGTTATAGTCAAATTCACACGAGCACTCAAGAATTTCATTTTTAGACCGATATTTCTGCACTACCTTTGTTAAAGGTGCTTACAAAACTTGAACAAATGAAAGATTTCAGAGGACCGAAATAAAAGGTCTAGTAATTGATTATGCTAGTTGCGTCATTTTGTCCGCACATAATTAAAATGCCAAACCAAAAAAGCATGTTGCTCATATTTAAAAAAATGACATTTTGGGTTATCAAAACCTTAGAAAGGAGGCCAACTTATCCATTTGAACATTTGTCAAAGAGATGTAATTGTGAAAGCATTAAAAGGGCTATTGATTCATTTGATATTCTTTGAACTCATGTTTATAATTTGATTCAATTGCGAACAATATTGTACATCATTTTTATCTTTTTCCCTCCTAAAACAAGAAAAAGAGAAAAACATTTTCAAACATAATAGTTTCAGACATGAAAAGGTCTGTAAAGCCAAAGCTCGTGAAGCAAATGGGGCACGATTAATTCCAAGGACTAGATTGGCAGACAAAACACTGGACTCCAATCCAAGAGCTAAAACATAACTCATTCATGTTGCATGCATATTAGACATACTTAAGAGCATAACATTTATCATTTTTAGCACATATATTTTTTTTTACAGATTTTAGAGTCAAATTTCAACTTCAAGATGAAAGATACTCGATTCAAAAGCGCATTCGGAAATTGATGACACAAGCTCAACTTCACAACGAAGGGGTGACTGACTGTTAACAAATAACTTTTCAATTTCATTCAGAGTCAATTTTAACTTCACATCGAAGGATATTGGACTTGAGACAACACAAGCTCAACTTCACAGCGAAGGGGCGACTGACTGTCAACAAACAACATTTTTGTTTCATTCAGAGTCAATTTCAACTTCACAACGAAGGATATTAGACACGAGACAACACAAGCTCAACTTCACAGCGAAGGGGCGACTGACTATCAACAAACAACTTCACAGTTTCATTCAGAGCTAATTTCAACTTCACAGCGAAGGATATTGGACTTGAAACGATACATACTTGGATTTCAACTTCACGACGAAGGATATTCAAGTCAAGGCTCAACTTCACGACGAAGGGGCCATCTACGATTTCAACTCCATGACGGAAGATATCGTATCCACACAGCTACGATTTCAACTCCATGACGGAGGATATCATGTTATTTGAGGCTCAACTTCACGACGAAGGGGCTTCCCAGTTTCAGAACCAATTTCAACTTCATGGCGGAGGATATTGGACTCGAAACAATACAACTTACTTGGATTTCAACTTCACGACAAAGGACATCCAATTTCATGCTCAACTTCACGACGAAGGGGCCACCCGCGGTTTCAACTTCACGACGAAGGTAATCGTGCACACAAGCAGCATCCATCTCTAGATTGGATTTTAACTTCACGACGAAGGGTATCCAACTCAAATAATGAGTGTCTGTCAACAAAATTTCCAGTTTCAGAGTCAATTTCAACTTCACAGCGAAGGATATTGGCCTAGGAACAGCGCAACTTACATTGGATTTCAACTTCATGACGAAGGATATCCAATTCAAGGCTCAACTTCACAACGAAGGGGTCATCTACGATTTCAACTTCACGACGGAGAGAATCGTACCCACCAGCAACATTAATCTTCAGGAACAAGCAAATTATTGATCGCCTTTGAGATTGTTTCTCTCGAAACAAGGGGTTGTCTCGTTTGAGACTAATTTACTCAAAACAAAGTTTTTATCTCTTTTGAGACAGTTTCTCTTGAAACAAATTTTGTCTCTCTTGAGACAGTTTCCCTTGATACAAATTTTGTCTCTCTTGAGACAGTTTCCCTTGAAACAAAAACCTTTGAAAATGTTTCTCTTGAAACATCAAACCTTCGAGTTTGACTACGCTCAACTTCAATGCACATAATTTACAGCATAACTCAAGGCTAGAAGGGTTATCTGCCAACAAAGACCTTGGAGTTCGACTACGCTCAGCTCCAAGGCACATCATTTACAACATAACTCAAGGCTAGAAGGGTTATCTGTCAACAATGACCTCCGAGTTCGACTCCACTCAGCTCAAAGGCACCATCATTTGCAACATAGCTCAAGGCAAGAAGGGATATCTGCCAAAGACCTTCGAGTTTGATTCCATTTAGCTCGAGGGCATATCAACCGCGTTGCATTAACAAGGAACTACTTTCCGGTCAATTTTTACACCTAGGTCTTTAAATCGAGAAGAAGACCAAGGTCGACCAAGATTGGCAACAAAGAGTCACTTTTCGATTTACCCACGATTTCAACTTCAAGAAGAAGGATATCGTGCCCAATGGATCGACTTAGTGTCACAACAAACACTATCAAGTCTCAAATCAAAGAGAACCTAACAAAAACTGGTTGTCTTTTTCATCTTTGCCCTATTCTTGTTAACACAAAAATATGTAAAGAGGGGCAGCTGTAGACACCCGTTTTTTCCGGGTATACAAAAAAAATTTATTATATTATATTTTATTTATTATTATTAATAATATTTTTTTTATTTTTGTAGGCCACACACTCAACAACCATGATTTAGTAAGATTCAGAAAATAAATCAACGCATTTGAGTCATATTGAAACACTAAAACCAACGTATTTGAGTCCTATTGAAACACTAAAACTGAAGCATTTGAGTCCAAGTATGACTCTAAATCTGAGCTAAAAATAGGTTTCTTTAGACTATAAATAGACTCAAGCATCAAGAGGAAAAGACACAGAGAAAAACGTGGAATCAAAATCAGAGGAATGGGCAATGATTTGAAAAAACCGAGGGAAGAAAAGGACCAAAATAAGCGTGGAGGATCCAAAGCCAATATCTAAAAGCACGAGGAGTGACAGAACATTTGCATTGCAAATACAGTTTATCTACATGCAAAACATAGGAGATGTAACAACTTTTGTCTTATTATTTTTATTTCATTTTTTTATTTATTTACTTTATATATATTTTTCATTTTCTCATAATTTTAATAATTTTATTTCTTTTTACATTGTTATATATATATATATATATATATATATATATTTTATTAATATTATTATATTAATATTTTTTATTATTATTTTCTTTTGTTTATTTTCATTTTTACAATCCAACACTTTTGACTTTTTAGAGATACTTTCAATCGATTAAAGGTAATTAATTCGGATTGAATTTTTGAATTTCAATTTAAATTTTCGCAAATAAAGACAACCGAAAAATTAGTTGGTACCGAAAGGGCGGTTCAAGGGTGCTAATCATTCCTTGATCGTAACCGACTCCCGAACCCGACACGTTTCTGGTACAACGCAGATCAGGTAAGATGGTGTCTGACCCACCTAAATTCGTTTTAAATGGTCGATGACGACTCCAATTCATTTAATCCAAGTTGAAGCCCAATTCGGGACCCAACCGAAAGACGGTTCCGATAGTTTTAACCTAAAATGTTATTGTATCTACTCTAAAATATTACATAATTAATAATAATTTAGGTTTTAACCGAGAATATTACATAAATATCATAGTTATGCAATTTACATGATTTGTTATGAAAAATATAATATTTTTAGTTTTAATCTAAAAGGTTACCCAATTTACTTTAAAAAGTTACATGCTTATAAATTTTTCAAACTTTATATTAACCTGTTGGTAGTTGAAGGAGATTATGGTCCAAGAGAACTCGACTCGAGCTTGCTTTTGTGTCGGAGTGAACCCGATGCAACATTAAGATAAAAAGCATGTGCTTTCGGCTGGACCATGGATTGGACTCGGTCGTGTCCGGTTATCTCAGTTGGACTAGGCAATTACAATTAAGTTGGTTTGGGTTTTTATTCAAAATGTGTATCCAAATTTTCTCATTTGGACAACATTTCCATTTCCTTTGGGCCTTAAATTGTGCAACCTAACCCAGCTCCAGTCAAAGGAAAAGCAGTCAAATAAACATAGGTCTAATTTAAATTTTGAGAAGTTAATCTCTGTTACTTTATTCGATCTTCATATTTTTATATAAATTAAAAGGTCAATTTAATTATTATCAAAATTTTCTAAAATAAATAGTTAAAAATTCTCGGTTGACATTTTTTTCTTTAAATTGTGAGTATATTATTCGTTAAAAATAAAAATTTCTCTACCCCTCTTTCTAGATAAAAATTGTTTAAAAAAAATAATTCAATTATTAGTAAATGTGAAAATTTAAATTGCTGACTTTTACCAGTATGTAATATATAAATTACCGCGTTAATGGTTTTTATTATTTGATTACTTTAAAATAATCGAACGGTTAATTCTCAATAAATTAGATTTGCAGAACAACAACAACAATGCCATCGTCATCGTCATAATCTGCAGTCCAACAAAGATTTAATTGTTCAAATTCTAACATTTCTCGGTTTCTAAGACCATTTTTATTAATCGGCAAACATCCAACGGTGGGAATTATTCAATGCGCTACACAACAAAGTTGGAAGGAAATTCCTTTTTGTATGTTATAAGGAGAGAGGACAAAAACATCCGCTTTCCAATGCCATAGCCAGCTTTGCTTATGCACAAATCCACAGCTCTAATATTAAGTAATTATAGTGGTAAAAGAGAATTGTTTTTCTTTTAAAATTTCGGATTCAAATAACTACGTCAATATCGATGACTAAAAAAATATTATAAATAAACACGACCTTATAATCACTAAAAATTGTAGAAATTAAGTCTTGCTGCCTTGGCAGTAAACGACAGGCTAATAGAGATACCATTAGGTTAACTTGTATTTATGCATGCAGTATACGGCAATGCAAAAGAATGTATCTCTTCCATTTTCATAAACGAGCAGATTTATCTGCTGCTGCAATATCTGGTATCATAATAACTGAAAACGAAACCGTAGAAGAAGAAGAAAACGAAGAAGTGGGAAATAAATTAAGGAGCAAATTCGAGTCTTGGTTCGAAGCAGAAACCAGTGAAAAGCTGAAGAGGGAACTTCTTTGATACCGGACACTTCTGTGCCCATTTCCATAGCTTCAGGTTCATGTCAAAAACGAGAAGAGCAGGTGCACCGTAACTCTGGATATATATGAGATTATCGGTACCACTGCTAGCGAAAACATCGTCCAACTCACCGAATCCTTGAAAAAACTTATGGGGCATGCGAGCAACGTCTACCCATTTCCTCCCTTCAAGAACCCAGATTCCAATCCCCTTGATTATATCAGCCCGATCTTGCTTCCCGATACCTCCAACCATCACCAGCTTTTCGTTTAGGTTCATCAGACGGCCGCAAGTAAGAGGACTGGACACCGGAATTAAACTTCTTATCAATGGAGATGATCGATTAGATAGACTATATGTAACTAGACCATGCCGGATTTCCCGTGTACCACCGCCACTTGAGTAAATCAAAAAGTATAAAACCCCATCGCATATAACACTTTCATCTCCACCTCTCCATCCTGTCAAAACCTCAGTCAAGGAGGTAGTCCACATCATTGTTTCCGAATCATAAATATGAATTGAAACATCCCATTGGAAAAATTTTCCAGGAACTTGTTTAGACTTCACAATGGATACGGTATAGTCGTGTGATGTCCTGTTTACCGAGATCGACAGCGCACAATAATCAGGGAATTTCAGACCGGGAGGATGCTCGAGCTTCTTGCAATTTTTGGTGATTGGATTGCAGACATGCAGTTCACTTCTACTGTCATTGTCCATGAAACAAACCAAGCCACATGATGAAGCAATGAACCAGTTAGGAGTCTGAATGCAAAGCAGTTCAATGCTGTGCCACTTCCGAAGGATCGGGTCATAGGCATAACCAACGGGTTCATCAGAGCTTGTAAACATGAAATACCAAGGCTTTTGTGATAGGATATCCGAAAAATTCCATAGGAACCTTCTGGAACTGACAATCTCATGCCATCTTCTGCACACAGAACCAGCTCGGAAAATGCTAGCAACGGGGAGATAAGCCAAAATCCGTTCGAGCAAGTCATCCGGCAAGATTAAGTCCATAGAAACCGCGGTAGTTTCTTTGTTACCTTCATCAGTAAGTTCCGAAAACGAATCACAATCACCTATTTCTTTCAACCTGTCATCAAAGCAATGGCTGATCCATGAAGTCTCCCCGTTCATGACGAAGAACAGCTAGAGAAAACTCCTGGGAATTCAACGAAAACAAGAACGAATCTCTTCACAAAATCAAACCAAACAGGGAAAGAGGAAACTAAATGGGAATCAATCACCTCATAACACAATCAATCATCAAGAAATATGAAAACACTTGAGCCTTCTCCAAATACAATTCAAATAACCTGAACAAACATTACAGATTGCTAGAAAAAAGGCATGGTAAATAAAAAAAATTAAGGAATCTAATCATCTGTATGAATGCTAAAACACTTGCACAGAAGGAGATGCAAAAAGATAGAGGACAATGCCAAAATTCTTATCTGAAAGAGGGAGATAATATCAAACACTGGAAAATTAATCAAACCCCATTTCTAAATTTGAGAAGATCTTATCATTGGATTTACACAGAAGCAAAATCATTCGTTACTTAAAAAGGAGAAAGGCCTTTACAGAGGATAACATCAAAATTATATGTAAAAAGGAAACAGTTTTTCCAACCAGATTTCTCAATTCTTGACAGAGTAAGAGTGTTTTTTCAGCTAAATAAACAACCTTTCATGGATTCAGCATATACCCAGAAGAAAAGTGTAAGAACAAAAAAACGTTTTAAAAACAAGTAAAATATTGTTAGGTGAAAAAGGAGTAGGATTAGGCCATCCTTACCAATCAATCAAACATCAAAGGTGAAAACCCCACATTATTAAAGAAATCAATAAGCATCACCAACTAAACTAAAACATCATTAGATTAAAAGAGAAGTAAACGGGTCAAATGAAAGAAATTAAAATTTCCTCCAAGGAAAAAAAAACACAGTCACGAACCTGAGTTTGGGTTAGCTGACGAAATGGACGTCGGTAGATTCGGACAAATTTTCAATATTTACAAAAATCAAAACTCAGTGAATAAATAAAGATTAAAATTTAAAAGCAAAAACAGATTATTGGCAAAGAACAAAGAAAGGGTCACTCTTGATTTGTCCCATAAATCAAATTCCTAAGCAAAACCCATTGTAGAGAAATGGACGTTTAACTGTTTGTAATAAATAAACAAAAGAAAGAAAGAAAAAACGATAGCCAAGGAACGAGGATAGAAGACGGTTCTTGTAAAGGGCGTGTGTTCATGAATACAGACTAGTGACAGAAAGTAAACAAATAAACGGAGAGTTAGGGGAAAAGAGCGTGTGGCGCGTGGGCTCCTTCTTTTTATGAATTTTTTTTTTTTTTTTTAGTTTTAGAAATTGACAACAACGACACAAGTGTGGGTGGGATGAGAAGGTATGGAAGCTTGAGGTGTTTTCAAGCAAGATGTTGGTTTTAACGACGGAAAAGAATAAAAAAAAAGGGAAAATTGTAACACGGTGACTTCTCAAGAGATTTTTTTTAGTATTATTTTCGCCTAAATATGTTAAATTGTGAATCCTGAAAAGGAGTAAGAGAATGTTGGAAGAAAACGATTGAACATTGCGAACAGGCTTAACTGAATCAATCAAAGGAACTCGGATATGGTAGGAAAATACGAATTGGATTATCCCGCCACAATGTTATTGTAAATTGAACTCGGATGGAGCTCAAGATACAATATACGCTTTTGCATCTTGCGGAAGAGTCGTACGATCTCATGATGGGTCATGGCTGGTTGGGTACTCAAGATCAATAGGGATATGCTCGATCCTTGAGGCAGAGTTATGAGGTCTCCACAAAGGTCTCATTTATGCTTGGAACTCGGGCGAAAAGCAAATCATAGCATAGCGGAAATGGACAATTTGGATATCGTGAAACCAATTTAACAAGGAATGAATTTTTATCATTTGATATTCCATTGTTAAACAAATAATTTGTTTAATATTTAAATTATCATTTGGTAAGAAATATAATATCAAATTTGTATGGTCCATTTATAATATCAAAGTTAATTAATTGCATTGTCATGTCCATCAAAATGAAGAACATCCATGTTATAAATTTGGATTTTGTCCTCAATCCCCTAAAAAAATTATATTACCTTATTGTTCATCAAACCCCTATTTTATTAGTAAATTCATCTTAAATAGTTCCAAGGAGATTCTTATTCCTTAACCTTCTTAGTTTTCTATTTCAATATGACATTCCTCAAATTATTTAGGCATGATAGACCAACCCCAAAAAAAAAAAAAGTTGACCCAAAAATACTAACACAATTATATACAAATGAACTTTCCCCACTTCCATTGTGCTTGCTTTAAACAGTGAATTAAAAAGTCCGCACCTCCTTTTGGCTGACTGAGGTGTAAGGCGGTAAATGAGTTGAGTAGACTGTGAATATTGTTGAATTTAATTCCATTCAAAAAGTTTAAATTTGAATTTAACTTGATTAGAAAGTTATCAAGTTTAAAATTATCATGTTCGAATTTTAAATCTAAAATTGAAGTTCAAATCAAGCTCGAGAAAACTTAAATTCAACATATTTTCATACTTAGCTTGATTGAAACTCGAACTTGAGCTCGGTTCAAGCTCAAACTTGAATTCAAAACTGAACCTTAAGTACATGAAACTCTTATAATTATATTTTTATATATAAAAACAAACCTCATATAAAAGGTTAATATTATGAATAATCAATTCTAAAAATTAAAATTTTAATATATATTTTTGATTCGTTCATGAGTTTTTCGAGTAGGTTTCAAGTAGTTCATTTCTACTCATTAAGAATTCAAATTAAATTCAAACTCAATCAAATTCATTTAATTTAAATGGTGATCTAACTTTAACCGCAATAAACTTAAATAACTTGAGATATTTATGGTCTCATATTAAGGCTTTAATAGATATGATGGATGAAAATTTTAAAGATATGACATTTTTTTATTAATATAGGGTAAATATAAGGTAGTATCTGATCAAAGATAACTTTTAACCTCTCAATATTAAACGTTCATACCATGGGCATCTATGATGATCGAACCCGAATTCTCAAAAAATAATAATAATTCTTTTATCATGGAATCCACTTCATTCGTATAGCTTTAGTGGCATATTCAATTTTGCGTTTGTTTTGTATCAATGATAAGCTAAAATGAGTGTTGATAGTGGCATCACCACTAGTCCACCTCTTTCCACCCAAACATTTTTGTGCACATCAACTCATTTCTCACTTACCATACTGAAGTAATAGTATTTTAATGAACGGCTTCCCTTTTTTTAAAAATAATTATATTTTCAATATTTATTACATAATAGAATGTCCATTATTTGATGCCAAAATACATGATAAAATTTCAAGTCAAACAATAAATATGTCCTTGGTTTTTTTAAATATAAATATTGGTTTGAATTTTAAAATTATATTCATATATAAAATAACATATTAATTTAGAACAAACATACATCTTGCCTTTCTTGTTAGTATATTTGGAACATTAAAGTCAAAAACAATACATGAAAGATGTATTAACCAAACATTGAAAACGATGTTTTTAGCAGTAGGGTTAGGTGCACGCTCGCAGACGGCCTAATTTTTAATGATATATAGTTGGTATCCATGTAAATGATAATAATATATGAATATATGATTACAAATGTATTAAAATATATATTTGTGTAACTTTTTTATTAATTTAGAGGGATTATAATGTAATATATGTTTAAAAGACTATTGACTATTTGATAATGAATGTTTATATATCCCTACAAACATCATACTCGAACCCGAAATTCCTAAGGAAAATAACAATTTCTTTAACCACTAAAATTGTTTGGTTCGTGCATATATTTGAATATTTATATCTTTAAAGTTAGGACCAACTAAATGCAATACTCGATGATAGTGGAGACAACGAACTGACCTAGAATTTTATATTAGGAGTGTGAAGTTAAAAGCTTATATTAAAAATTAGAGTGTAAAATTAGAAATTTTCAGAGTGTTGCGTATTTTAATATATTTATATAATTATATCTTTAATGTCAAGAGAAACTAAATGCAATACATGAAGATAGTGACGTTAAATTCTACATTAGATATGTGAAATTAAGAATTTATATTAAAAATTTAAAGGGTTAAAACTACAAAATGATGCAAAATTCAATCTTTATAAAAATGTATAAAAAAATTTAAATTATATGACAATTTGAAATTTAGGTCGCGTCATCTCGGACAATTCCTAATGGAGGCAGTGCTGAGCAGAGATGAGAAACAGGGACAACGCAACTATGCAATAAAGCTCAACAAATGTATCATTAGAGACTAATTGGGATGCGAATTTAGGGCAATGGGTACCTCTCTAAATGCCTATAGTTAGTCTTTGTTTCGATCAAACCAGTGGCGACTGGGGAGGGATGGGGCAACATCATACGGGTAAAAAGGTCTAAAATGTGGGAAATGTGTCGTGTGTTTAGCAGGCTTTTACCGGGGGGGTGCCGCGTGCGAGCATCCCCGAAGCCCACCGCCCATTGGTTGGTGCAATTTGCGGGGTCTTCCGCCCCCCCCCCCCAAAAAATGCACATCCATGACAGAGATGTAACAATATATATCCACGTGATGAAATATAGTAAGTCTTTTCTTTTATTATGTATTTTTGCTTTAAAGGCTTTTATGTTGGGTTTGTGTTTTGTTTGTAATCATGTAACGTGATTGTTGGGGTCAGACGTTTGAAAGAAACAAGAAACATTGGTAGATGCCATGTTAAATAAATGAGTATTGATTTTCCTTCACTTCCAAGCATACATGTTCGTAATTGGATCTGAACGTGTGGTGAGACAAATATGGTTTCTTATGCACTATGTTCACTATTATATTATTTGAATTTAAAATGGACGACGAATAAAATTTATTAAATAGTCTCAGTAGTTATGAAAGTATTATTTTTCTTTAAGATATTGAGTTCAAATAGTTATATCTATGGGGGTATGTATGAATTGTCAATGATTAAAAAGATTATAAATGTTAGTTGTCAGATATTTAGTTAGTTAAGCTGTTGATAATTAGTTAGATTGCTGTTGTTAATTAGTTAGTTTGTTAGTGAGGTTAGTAACTGTTAGTGGCTGTATATAAAGGCTTTAGTTTTGTAAACTGATTATTATGATGAATAAAATAGTTGGAGCACGTTTTCTGTAAATATGCCTTTTTAACATGGTATCACGAGTCAGATAATTTCCCTTGACTTTGCTTTGCACGGTCAAAATTGATTTAGGGATTTTACTTCTCTTTTCCTCTCCTTCGCAGCCATGGAGAATTCAACCTTCGATTTCAATCACCCGCTGTTCCTGCATGCTTCC